AATATGAAAGCGTGAATATAGATTTTTTGGTACTTATCTTAAAAGAGGACTTCTAGATAGCAATTTTGCGCCAGGAAGTGGACAGGCTTTCGGGTTGGCTCTCTTCTATGCGTCTCACTGCATCAAGACTCACACTTAGCCGATTGAGAGATGGTCAAGAAAGCAGTAACCAAGAAAAATGCATTCCACAGGCTACTCAGCTTCACCGTTACTCTCCTCCGGATGACGGACTTTGGACGGTGATTTTCCTTTCTCTCTGTTTCCTTTTCTTGGTAGTTCTGCTTTATAAAAAAGGATTTTCGTTTATAGACAGAGCAAGTTGTTTACATGGTGGTTACTACGCAACTTGTAACTGTTCTCTTGCTTGCCGCTCTCAATTTCTGTTACCAACGTTTCATGATCGATCAGCCACTCTCTTACAATCAAAAATCACAGATTGAAGAGCTAGTGAATGAAAGAGTGATGGCAGCGATTGAAAAAAATCGTAAGTTTCTCACTTTATATAATTAAGCTTTGAATCTTCCGAAGCTGATTTGAGATTTACCTTGATAGCATTCCTGACCTGCTGGTACAAAATTTTGCTGTTTTTGAAATTAAATTTCACAACTTTGCTCGTTATGAACCAGTTTTGACTTGGCTCAAAGATGTTTTGTGGCAGTCATAATGATGGTTGGAGAAGCACAAGGTTTGGTCTGGGAAATGGAAGAAATTGAAAATTTGCATCATCCCTCCCTTCCCCTTCCTTTCCTCTTCTTCCCTCCCACTTTCTCCTTCTTAATTTCTTCATCATTATTCTCTAGCTTATCTTTTTCTAGGATCATCTTTTCAACGTCACGCTAACGGGATATGCTCGTGGAGCAGGAGGGGTTCACACAATGAGAATCGTTCTCTAAAAGTTGACGAATGTGCGAGTTTTGCAGCTGAAAGCAGCTCATCATCGCAGCTGACTAATAGTGACGATTCCAGTACCGAAGAGGTAGTCGCATCTGATGGTTGTCCAACCCTTTCATCGGAGGTATCCGCAATAGCTTCACTTGCCTAGTATTATAAGAAATCAACATCTCACCTTCTTCACAATACATTATTCATAATTCCAATCTCCTGGAATACCAGGAATTCAGCATCTTTGAACTTTCCTGACCTTGTACAGTTGACTACATAATATGATTGTGTGCGATGTTATGTGGTTTGAAATTGATTATTCTAATGCGAATGGCTCGATTAGGTCTTTCTATATGTAGTGTACTAGTATTGTAGATAGTGAAGGTGAGGGGTTCAGGAAGCTTGCTAACGCTAGACTTTGCGTATTGGACAATCGGGTTGTCCTCCTTTTTTCACCTTATCTATATCACAAAAGAATGCCTAGTATTATTTAAGTGAATATGACGAGCTGTAGTTTTCTATCTTAAATGTCGGCAATCTGTGCCGCCGCGTCCGTGTTGTTTGACTGGTCTGCTTGGACCAATGAGGTAACTACTCGAATTTCTCTTTGTACATTTTTGTTCCTTCGTTGCCTGTCCTAGTATATATACATCATATGCACCGTGTGTTTGCAATAACGTTGAACTTTGAACAGTTCTCACGCTTTGAAGGGGTAATAGGTCTAAAACGCAAAAACGTACGCTACACTTGTGATCTAATTTGTAATAGTAGCACTAGTATGATCTGTGTACAGCAAATCCGATTCGAGCAAATGCAAATCTGTTTGCTTAGTGATGGCTCAGCCAATGTATGGCTTTTCTCTCATGTTACTGGTTTTGTTCCTCGAATCGGGTGCCGTATGACACTCAGTGCAGATCTTGTGTGTTTCATCATATTGCGGGTTGTAAACTCATAGTTTCTACTTGTGATTTCTCGCTTATCCGAGTGTTTTCTGAATGTTTCTCTTCTGTATCTGATTTAATAAGTGATATCGAAGATGATGCGGTGGTTATTTGATGTTAATTTATTCTTCCCCCATGTACGATATTTCCCGCCTAACAACTATATGAATTTTTTCTTGTATGTTATCTGGCCATACACAAGGAGACGACGAAAAAAAATTTTAAATTAGGATTCTAAACAGAACTTAGTTTATTTGTTCTATATTCTTTTTTTGTGACAGTTGTTGCTTAGTCATCGTAACTGCATGATAAAATCACTCCGAACAACAACAATTCTACGCTGTTTTAGTCCGAGGCTCTTCAATTTTTATTGAAAAAAAAATTTATAAGTTCAGAACTTCAGAAAGGAGGAGAAAAGAGCAATTTAAGTGTAAGAATTCTCACTTTCATTATAATGGACATATTATAATAAGGGGATTTGAGAAATTTACGCTTTTCTATCTT